GGCGGCTTCTTCAACCGCATGTTCAACGTCGCCGGCGGGTATGCGGTCCGCCCGACTGCGTATTAATCTCCGACTCTCATTTGTTGTTTTCCCATTCCATCATCAACGACGCTCATGGCGTGCACGACTTCCCTTTCATGGTTCGCCTACGGGCTGGGTTTATCATGTTCCGCGTTGTTCAGTGCGAAAAAGATCTTGGATCCTAGCATCATTCGGCATATCATTTGCATAGTATACAAGCATTGCGACGGCGTTGGAGCGCGGCCACTTAGCGTGGAATTGTTTGGTAATTCGTATTTTGGCATTTATTGGATCTAGTTTGGAGTGGTTGTTACAAGTGCGCAGTCGGATAGGACGCGCAGTAATTCAATTGAACACAGTATAATCTACAACTGTCTCTTCTTGCATTGTGAGGTTCTTTGGAATGAGGGCATTCATAGCCGCCTGGATTCTGATGGGACTGGTTGCGGTGTTGGTTCATGGATACGAGGCTGGCAAGAGGTCTCCTTCAGCCGCGGCACAGCCAGCGTCTGTAGCTGCCTGCTATCTATGAACCGTACACCGGTAGTCGTCAGCAAGTGGCAGTGAAAGACGCGTCAACCCTAAGGAATTCGTCAACCGGTGTACATAGACAGTACACACATGTCACATGGATTTCGCATTCGCGCTCTGCCTCTCTTTTCGATCACCCGGTCCCAACATGACCTCTTCACCACCAACCCACAGCACCTCCTCAAGCGGTGTACACAAAAAGTCACGCGCATCGTGTGTTGATAGGTAGCGTAACCAGTCACTACTACTCGCTAGTCTAGTCGCCCGCCCACTACGCCGCCCGCGCGCACGCGACCTACTAGACGCCGTGGATCCAGCCAGTTATGGAGCTACTACACGCCCGCCACGGACACCGCACCGCGCCGCCGCCGTACGTGGACAGAGACGCGCGAGTACAAGTGTTGGTGGTGTAGAGTGAGTGTATAATGGGTTCTGGTGAACGGTGAGTTGGGAGCAGTGTGTGATTTGTCGGGAACAGCATTGAGATATTGAAAAATGAAACATGAGGTCTTGTTTCATATTTTGCTGCGAGTTGGTGATCAGGGTCTGCTCTTGGTGGGGCGGTTTTCGAGAGGTGCGGTGAAGGAGGAGGGAGGTGGTCAAGGAAGCGGTCTCGGAGCTATCCGCCCCATGCGGGGATGCGTGGAGTTTTTGTTGGGTGATGGAAGTGGGAGGCTGAAGATGGGACGACTCTACTAGATACTGTTGTGTGCAGACATGCAGATTTACCTTAGGTACCCTACCCTCGGGTTCGTGGGTTGTGCGCAACGTGAGGAGGAGTGAGAGTCGAATGTAGAGATCAGGTACAGGAGGGTTATTGAGTGTGTTCCAATGTGCTCGAAAACAGACGAGTAGTCGTGACGTGCTCAATAAAGCTCGTGAGGTGCTCGAAGTGTGTTGGGTCATTGATCGCCGTATCTCAACGTCAAGGGACACTCTTGGTTCCATCTTTGCCGTGGGTTGTTCAAAGCAAGCACGAGCTAACCAGGAGCATGCCAAAAGGCTCTTTGTACAGCCTACCTAACATTCGCAGATTACGGTAGCCCTAATGCTTGATTGCCTTTCTACAAAGTATTACTCTCTTCTTACTCTCTTCTTACTCTCTTCTTACTCTCTTCTTACTCTCTTCTTACTCTCTTCTTACTCTCTTCTTACTCTCTTCTTACTCTCTTCTTACTCTCTTCTTACTCTCTTCCTACGATCTCTTATTTTTACAGCATGTTTTTATGGGCTTACTAGTTACGATTAGGGGAGGGAATGAGACCGAGAGAGAGGGTAGAGGGATTGTTCCATATGCGTTAAGGACCTCGAAATCGGACAGATTGCGGGGTGCTCCTGAACGACTTTTGCCTCCACCACGCGAATACACCTTTAGATCGGCTTTCCCGCCATTCAGCGTCCTGGAACGCGCCTCGTTGTCCTTCTGCTCCATGCCTTCTGACCTCAAACATATCATCAGATAGCGAACTGGAATTTACCTCGTTTCTTGATCCTGCAACACGCAAGAAATTCGCCATGATTTCATGCTCGCCTGGCACAAGACATATGGGAAATCATTCAAGCATATCGCTTCGGCACCGCGAATATAAACCATGTTGAACGAGAATTGGTGTCCATGGCCAAAGGGAGCGGGCGTCCATGGACAACGATACAAGCCTTATGTCTACATACTCTGTGCCGACCTTAACACATGTGTTAACTATCGTGAAACCCAGAAATTCTCTTCCTGTCCGTGGACACTCTTGGAAAGCTACACGTGTTCCGTGTATGTGATCTGACCCTTGTCCTTGTCCGACTTATCCAGCACGTAACGACCAGGACGTTTCATGTCTTCCTTCGAAACCCTTTGCAGAAAGTCGCAAAGTGAATTCATCTTAGAAGTTTGCTTTTTACCAGCACTCTTGAGGCCAATGTTCAACCTCCTTCGCCCCGTCTCGTGTCATAGCCCTAAGCTTGATTGGGAGGAAGCGTGATGAATCTCCAGGTTGTGCGTCGGGAGCCGCACAAGGGTAGCGAGTGTCGTTGAGAAAACAGCGCACTCGTGCGCTTTCGGTGTTGATGACACTCGTGATTTCGTTTGGTACCGTTATATCGAGAAAACGCAGTCGCAAGACGCACTTCGTTCCCTCCTTACCTCCACCACGCGAGTAGACTTTGAGCTCAGCGCCCTGGAACGCGCTTCTTCATCATTTTGGTTGACTGCGTGGGCGAGGTTGGTCATTGCATTTGTGGCGAGGGTCTGGTAGTATGATTGGAGCTCGGGATCCTGAATTTTTCTGAGGTAGTGGCCTTCCAGCTCGGATGCTTTTCGGCCTTGTGCGAGCAGACAGTATGTGTTCAACGGGATGACCTGGGCTTCAAGGTTGTTCTCCGTGAACATCCATCTCTGCAGATGCTGTGGAAGCGTGTGGAAAATCAACGCCGTGAGCATCTCAAGGATGTTGAGTTCGAAGCCGCGAAGTCCTTGGGGTCATCCGGCATGTCAAATTCGGACACTATCACCCAGAAGTCCTCGCCGCCCTCTTCCCGACTCTTAAGCCAATCTTGGCAGTGCTTCGTATCCTTCAGCTTGGACGGCATAGTCTGCTGGGACAGTCGACGTCTAAGGTCTGTGGCCTGACCGGCGTAAATGCTGACTCCGTCGAGCATGGTGATAACGTGAATGTAGGTACCAGCCTTCGCTGGTGCATCTTTTATTTGCGGCAATGACAACTTTCGTAGACTGCAATATTAGAACAAATTCTCGACTATAGTTATAGACATACCTTAAAGTCCTGTCCGCTGGGACTTCAGACATAAACCACAACACTGTAGGCCTTAACCTCGCAATAAGTTGTTCTACTAACTCTGACCTGTCTATATTGAGTATAGCCTGGTAGCGCGACAACATCGGGTCCTTGTACCGAGAACTCTTCACGTCAGAGATCGGTTGACTGGCCGACATTAATGCTGACGGCTCCTGGGGTGGTGACGGCACCCAAAGACGTACGTGCTGGCCTTTTCAGGCGCGACTTTGGCACTCGCCCATGCGATTTTTCGTAGGCTATACAATGTCAGAACGAGTTCTCTCGCTGCAATGGCGTGCTTACCCCAAAACATCGTCGACTAAATATTGGCGAGGTGCCGCATGGGCCCGGGCTTCATCTTCATATCCAGGCTGGCCACAACACCCGCCTGTGCCTCTCCATAATATCCCGGTGCCTGACTACAATCCTGTTTGTGGACTGTGATTCCGTAAGCTCCGTCATTATGGCCCGGAGCATGGATCCGAGGACGCGATATGGTCAATCTGCTCCTTTATCTTGCCGTGCAAAAACAAAAACAGCCTAGGGAATCATCTCTGCCGCCAGCGGAGGAAGCAGCGACATGGATCCCAAGATGATGAACTGGGTCCTCGGTACGGGGTCTGTGATTGCTCGGTTTCTTCGCCCATTCCTACTCTTATCGAAGTCGTACTCCACGTGCACCCTATCCGCGATGAACTGTGATGGCAATGCGAGATCAAGGTGTCGCAAGTGAATCGCCTTTCTATCGCCACTTTGTCTCTTCTTCGTGTAGATGAAGACCTCGCCTCCCAGGAGCAGTGAGTCCTTGATAGTCTCGTCCTGTCTTCGGTTGTGCGAACTGCTGTTGGGATTCGTTCAGGAGTACCCCATGACTGCTTGTGATCAACAACCTTTGATGGGGAGTTCAGATTGCCTTAACGTTAGATGAACCTACACCTACCGTTACTGTCCTATTCGCATATGCGCTTCTCTGTTCTGGAACGCTTTTAAAGATATTTTTTTAACTTTTGCACAGGAGTGGGCATCGTTTGGAGGTAGAGGGCGCGAGGGACTTTATGTAATCGACAGTATGTTTGAATGAGGCGTAATCGTAGGGTGATATAGATGACATCGTGGGATGCTCCTTAACGACTCCCCTGAAGTTTCGCTTTGCGTTGGTGGCAATTTTCTTATACTGCGTACGTCTTGCGGTATCTTCCGAATTCCTCATGTATGGGGCTTCGCCTTCTGAATGATCTTTGCGGCCTTTGTGAAGTCGGACTGTCCGATTCAAATGATAGCAGGGAGGTTGGTAAGATGCGTCTGCCGACTGGACGCGGCTGGATTGCCTCAAGCTCTCCAAACATGATGCAGACCCACGTTTCTAAGATGTCGAGCTGGTAGGATACCAAAGGCCTTATACCAGTTGCTCCGAGACTTGAATTTCTGACCCAAAGTCGAAGGTCTCATCGCCAAACATAACAAGTCGCTTTTATGTTGTGTAGTGAGGTGCTCTTGTCCAGAGGCTGGGCGGTGGAAGTTCGAGCCGTGCCAAGATGAGGCCAAGTGCGCTCTGGGTGTGGCTGGAGGCGCACCACACAGTGACACACCCCAACCACCATTAGGCAGCGTTTTGACCTGCTCTATAAACTGTCCACCGCTTACGGCTCTCATAAGAAACACGCCCTTATAGCTCAGTGGTAGAGCGCAGCACTTGTACGAGCTCTCTCGAGCAATGCTGAGGTCCATAGTTCAATCCTGTGTGGGGGCAAGTTCTTTTTTGCAGTTTTCTGCGAATCCCACTGTTTTTTTGGCTCATTACATCCCAGCGCATGCACTCTCTCTTAGATTGGTTGGCTTTTGCTCTGTTCTTGAAAGAGCGTCCTACTCCCTACTTATTTATCAAGGGCGTTTCTTTTAGGTATTTCGGATAGCGGGTATACTCTCAAAAGAGGGCGGTCCCTGCAAGCAAAGTGGCATAGATCTCAACCCAGCCCAGTCGAAGGCGACGGAAGAAAGAGTTGATAAGAAAGAATCGCTTAAATAAGAACAGCTGAGACCATGTCCATATTTCCATCCGTCACCCATATAAAGGATATCCAACGCTCAAAACCCAAAATCCATCTCATGAAGCCAGAAACCCAGACCCTGTATCTCATGGACCCATCTCGCTCGATACCGTATCCCAACAAACCAACACTGGCCCTTTCAGACTCTACGGCGCCTCATACACGTTCCCCCTCTGCTGGCCCTGCCCTTGCATCCCCATCTGCTGCTGACCCATTTGCGGTACACCATACTGTTGCTGCTGAGTCGGAGAAACCATGACTGGATCCCCTCCCACCTCCGCAATCCCCTGCGGCGGCGCAACCTGATACTGCGGTGCCGGGCTCGTGGGCGGCACAGGCGCCACATGTGCATACACCTGTTTCTCCGGACCCGCATTCGGATCGTAATACCCCTGTGCAGCACCCATACCCGCAGCCGGGGCTGGATACATTTGTTGCGGTGGAGGAGGGCAACCAGGATACGGCTGCGCAGGATACTGTTGCTGAGGCGCAGGATACTCCACCACGCCGACTTGAGGTTGTGGTTTGTATTCCGTAACGCCTGGTCCTGGACCTCCTGGGGCGGCACCGCTCATGAACGGTTGACTCGCTGCTGCGTCCGCGGAGTTTGCGGTTTTCTTGCGGCGCTTGATGACGATGGTCGTGAGGAGGGCGCCGAGGATTACGATGCCGCCTACGACGCCGCCGGCGATGGCGCCGACGCTGGATTTCTTTTTGGATTTCTTGGAGACGGAGATGTCGGTGTTGTCGAGGCCGCTGGAGTCGGATGTCGGTGATGAGGTTAGTGCGTTGGTTAGGGAGAAGAGGGAGGAGAGGTCGAAGGATGTGGGGGATGGGTCTAGGGTAAATGAGAAGTCGTCTGTGATGCCGTTAGGAGCGTCCGAAGGCGTGGCGGTGGTTTGGCCGGATGCTGTGCGCCAGGCGGACTGGGTCCATCGAGAGGCGCCGCAGCCGTGTTCGGTCATTATGGTCGATTCGTAGACGTAGCGCCATTGGTAGCAGAAGGGGTAGGCGGATTCGGTACTGTGGCCGTTGTCAGTGACGGGTCACAGAGATGAGAGATGGAAGCAGAAAGAAGGGGGAACATGGTACATACCATTTCGCAACGAAATCATCGCTCGAGCAATCGCTATCACAAGACGCGGAAAGGCTGGCTGATTCGACGCAGGAAGTGTATAAAGTGCATGTATCCATTGAGGCCGGGTCGCAGCAGCCGTGGACGCCGTAGAAGGTGTTTGTTGCGCATACGTATCCGGCGTTGTTGCATGTTAGGGATTCAGCTGGTATTCTGTCAGTGTTCCCTTTCATCCCACATTGTAAAGGAGTGAATCCATACTCAGTTCGCCGGAAATATATCCACATGTATTATCCTCAAACTGCCGTTTCAACAATTCCATAGCGCCCAACTTCGGGCCCTCAGTCGGCGCAGGACTCCAAGCATCGCGTTCAGGAATAATGAGAGTGGGTTCCGGTCCGGCCCAGGGGAAAGCTGCGGCTGCGGGAGCGAAAGCGGATGCCAGAAAGGCGTATATCGAGTATGTAGACATTATGACGGTATGAGGGATCTCGTCCTTCTAGCACTCCACGGTAACGCGCTGTTCAACCGCAAGGCTGAAAAAGAGCAGAAACAGAATCCGAAAAGCCCAACACGCGCAATCACAGCGCATGGCACGTCTTCATGTGTCCGACCCATGATCAGCCGCACAGCGCACAGGCCGCAGCAAACCATCGTCCCCCAGGCCATAGAGGAGGTGACAGCAAATCATCGAGAACAGTGGCTGCGATGTTATGGCGCAGCTCCAGGCGTTTGTATGCGGCGTGTTTGGGAAAAGAGATGAGATGGGATGCAGCTGTCCGTCTTGGGCAAGGGGAACCGGGATGGCGGGGTCTAGGGCGAGATCGAGGGGTGAATGCTAGCTTGGATTGGGAAAGCGCGGGCTTTAGCCGAATATAAATAGGCTGGACAGAGCGTGCTCGCGTTGCACTGCAGCGACGTGTAAACGAGCTGAGCGACGCGTTCAAGTCGAACAAGACGTGACTGATGTGCGAGAAAGGCGTGGGGTCGTCTGTGGACTAAGGAAGAGCGTTGGTGAGGCCCGCGCGGGTTTGGTGCAAGCGACCTCTAGGAGGAGCTGCTGGATGAAGTCCGGTTGGATATGAGATATACTACGGCTTAATAGGGTGCACAGCCACGTTCACGGTCAAGCGATATCTGTAGGCCCCCGCCTACACGTTTGCATCCAGCACGTGGGCCGAGTGAATGCTGCCCAGGTGAAGCAGTGTTGTCGACGTCCCCGCGTACGTAGCTGTGAACTCCAACGAGATATCAGGAGATTGTTTGAAAGCAACCCGTAAGCACCCCAAGGTTGCTTGTGCACCCTCGCTACCGTGGACCGCATATCAGAACAGCCCTGACACTGACTTGTTCTGCCACTTAAACCTCGCCTCCTTTACCCTAGGTATACCCTCTCCCTTCTCGAGGATGTCGTGATCCTAGTCCCACCTGCAATGTTATCAGCTAGATGGTAGGAATGAGGAGAGGCCAGAAGGATATCTCGGTATGCTTCTAAGGGTCCCCCAGTCAAAGGGTACTCTGATTCCTCCTAAAAATTCTGATTCTTTGGCTTCTCCAAGTTCACACTTCGGCCGAACTCCCGAAAAGCGTTGAAAAATAAGACACGTGGGGATGAAGTAGTTTGGTTGCGCGGGACGGCCGGTGCCGGCGCCAAGCGTGGGCCCTGAAAGTGTTACGATTCCGAGCGCAAAAACTACAATTCGGCGATTATTTGGGGACTACAGAAGGCACCCATTCCAAGTCGCCGATGTGGATGATTTCCACATGCCCGAGATACATGCTGCAGAATGTTAACGTGTTCTCGACTCCCGTTATGATCGCAGTCAAGAATAATTGTGGTCAATTGAAAATTTGTCAAAATCCGATAAAGTCCGCTGGTGGTGTGATCTCGATAGTCGGGGCCAAATACACCAACCGGTGCAATCGACCTTCCCTTTTGTTACATGTGTCTTGTGCCACAAGTCAGGGGATGTTTGTCGACTTTCCAATTGGCTGGCAGGAGCCCACTTCGAAATGACATGCCCAGAACGCACTGTAAGATGCATATGATGTCTGACCAATTGGTGTGCATGCCCTAGAAAACTCAACGATACACTCTACAAATCCATGCAGAAGAGGTCGGTGATGGTGCAATGCTGGGCACGAGTTTCAGGGTTGTTTGAAAGCTCTGCTTGATGCTGTACCGGTCTTAGTTCAGTAGGCGCCTTGGCTGATGCGTGCGCCATGTGCCATTCTCCGCGGAGCAACATTGTACATAGTGAAAGTGACATCAGATCAAGGCAAGCAACAATGGATGATGTCAAGGAGGGCATCCAGAATAGGACCGAGGGGATAGAATGAGACTTGATTACATTACGTTGCAAACGTAGACAGTAAACAGATCATCAAAGACCTAGGACTAGGACAAGTAAACACGACAGGTGTGAAAGTAGAAAAGGACAGACGAGAGTATTGAGAAATGCTCCGCTATGCATCATCAAACATTCAGTCGCTGATCAAATCGTTGCTTCGTTGGATGGCACCGTGCTGGTGCCCAGGACAAAAAAGAATCGTCTTGTATAGCCAGACGCAGTCCCGCATACGTCTGGCTATGAAGAGAAGAGGGCAATTAGAGAAAAGAGCCAGCTCTCAGTGAGGCCGCATCTGGGAAGGTCCGAGATGGGCGGAGGCCATCATGGACCCGCTCAGGGGCGCTTGCCCGCTGGGCGGACCCAGACGATGGAACATCTGAAGCAACCGCTCTCCCACGCTGGTCTCCAGCTCTGTTCCATCCCTCGCAATCTTGACTTCCCGGTCGGAGTTCCAAGGGTTGCGAAGCCCGCGTACGCGGTAAAACGGTAGACGGTTTGTTGAAAGCCACTCGACCCGGAATGGTTTTCCCCACGTCTCTGGCACGCCGGCGGCGTCACCTTCAGCATGTACGTCCTCCTTGCTGGCTTCAACATCGTCACCCTCAGTATCGGATACAACTGCTTCCCAAAAGATCGTTCCGCGTGCAGAATCATCGATGATTCTACCCCTGGGGGCGAACTCGGTAGCAGGCGTAGCGATCGATTTGGGAGTATCTGCGGTAGTGTTGGTGATGATGGCCTTGGGCGCAGGACCCATGACAATGGTAGCGTCCTCTAGGATGGGAGATGCCATGCGAGCGTATCCAAAGTATTCGCCGGATTTGTTGGCTGAAAAGATGAGGTAGACGTTATCCGCATCCTATGTCTATTAGCTTGCACATTCACAGAGTTCTTCAAAATGCTCACCTCGAAGGCCTTGTTCAGAACCTTCTCATTATGTGACTGGGTCGACCAGATGCCATTTCGTACACTTGTCTCCAAGTCCTGCAGCGTTAGACTCTTGAGAACAAAGTAACGGTCTTTAGCGTTGGTCGTGGGCTTCTCATTATCAGCATGCGGTTGGTCAGTCGATTCCACATTGGCAGCCTCGCCGTCTACACCATCAGAGACATTGCTGAACTTTGGCTGCGGGGCATTAATGGACTGCCCTGCCATAGCCGATGGGCCCGTTGGCACGCCAGACGCGGGAGTCGAACTACGTCGCAGCCTGCAAACAAGCCGCACGCCGTTGAAGCGGGAATCGTGGAACCTATGCATGGCGGCAGTGCAAGACTCC